AAATGCCCTGATGGAAGATGTGTAGGAGAGACCAGACAACAACCGCGCACCAGAATGAACGCACACCGGAAATCCATCAAAGACAGAAACACCCAATTCCCGGTGGGGGCACATTTCTCACAGGAGGGCCACTCTCTCTCCAATCTCTCAGTCCTGATCCTCAAGGGAAGGTTACACAACACATCCCAGAGACCAGCCTATGAGCTCCATTTCATCAACCTGCTGGATACTAGAGATCAGGGACTAAACATAGACATTGGATTTTTGACACATTATAATCTGCCTGGCAACTGACTCCCCAGCCCAGCCCAGCCCAGCCCAGCCCCTGGCTTCTTTACTTTTCATTGCATCCAGGAAGAGCACACACCAACTGCTGCAGCTTCCTGAGCCTGACGAAGGATTTTTGAACCCGACAGCTTGCTTAATAACTATTCTCCAACCATTTGGGTTGGTCTAATAAAAGATATCAAATTCACCCAAGGAACCTTGTCTGCCTCTATCCTTAGACCAACACGGCTACAACCTAAACCCCTAAAGCAGAAATTATATCTTAAAAAGACAATACTCATCAGACTTTTTGTACAAGTCCATCATGCAGTTCTTGTGATACTCCCAGGCACCCAATGGTGAAAGAGGCTGAAATAAGAAGGGAAATCTCTCCCAGTGGTTAAGTTATCAGACCACAGTTTGGCTCATGGTTCAGTTCTGATTTCTGCCACTGCCTGCCTTTGTGATTCTGGGCCAGTCCCTTAATCTTCCATGCCTCTTTGTCCATGTCTGTAAAACAGACTATTCCTTTGTCCCTTGTCTGCTTCTGAGCTTATTATTGAACTCTGGGCCACTTCTTTCTGCCTGTTTACAGCACCTAGGCACCTGAGCTTGAACTTATCGAGGGATCTCCTAGTAATGCAAATCATACTTGCAGAATTCATGAGCGTCATTCATTTCTAGTACTAGATTCTTTGCCAGGGGGAAACAGCTTGGTGACGCTGGTCTACATAGGGCTGTGAGTCAAAGCCTTAAGTGTTGTAGTGGTGGCTGGGGCAATGCGCACGTTTACTGTGGTTTGAGTCTCTTCCCCTTGCCTGGCAAACATGCTTGCATTACAACCATCTGGGGTGAGTCTGTCAGAGAAGTAAGCTGGTCTCTCTCAACTGAAGGGGGCTGTCCGGCGCTTCAGCGGATGTTGGGTTTAGTGATTCAGATGGTGACAGGAAACCAGAGCCCTGCTTACAATCCTGAGGAGGAACTTACTCCAGTCTTGCTGGCAGCTTTTGAGAGACATAATGCGGATGGGAAAGCCAGAGAGAGCAGACTGATGCTGCAGGTAAGATGGGCTTGAGGAGGGAAAAAAGTGGTGAGGGATGTGGAAGGCATTGCCCCCAGAGCCCGCTGCGATGCCTGCGAGAATCTGTTTGTTGGTTGCAATGAGTTTGGGATCGGACCCCACTGCGGTTGGGGCTGTAGATGAGGTCCACAATGATCGGCTTACAGCAGTACTGTGTGCAAATGTTGCATGCAGTTTTCCCAGCCTCCTGTTATCCATGTTTATCCCCATTGGCATGGGGAAAGAGCCCTTCCCCGTCGATCTACAGATTGGTCCTGGCTCTGGTTACTTCTCTTACATACCTCATATATCACACCTTACTGGGAGAGGAGGAGAAAGGGAATAGATCCTAGGTTTGATGGGGTCCTTATGTGAGGAATAAGCTATGCTTCTCTAGCTGTCCTCTACATTTGGCCACAGCCACCAGCTTTAGGATGTCCGGGACCCCAACTATCTGCCCTCTTCCTTTCTCTCTCTTGGCAGGGGGGATTTTTTTGCAGCTTCTAAACTGGTCTTAAAATCAGTCGGGTGAAAAAAAACATGATGCTACAGTATAGAATTGGTGAGTAGTGCCCCAGATATTTAGCAAACTATGGGATAATTACTAGGGAATTCAATACGACACATTGGTTACAAGATGCATATTTTGAGATGATGGACAAAAATTAAATAGAAGCTTTTCTTCCCTAC